TATTAACAATCCAGACGATAAATAAAATTTGTTCATGGATATTATTCTAAAATTATGTTATACGTTAAAAAAAAGAAAAAAATTAAAAATGAGAAAGCACTGGGTGATAACGATTATAGAAATTATTTCAAGGAAGAACGAAGTTTAACTTGAAGATAAATATAAATTATTTATTACCTGCTTAAAATTAATTTAGAGCCATTGATTCAAAAGAATCTAGACACTGTAGCTAACCTCGTTTACGTTTGCAGGTAGCGATATCGTGCAACGATGTTAACCGATCAACGATTGATTCGTTTCGGTTCTCCTTTCATTTATATTTTTATTTTGATAGCTCTATCAAAATAATTTGTTTATTGAATCATTGTCACGTTTACAGGCTGTACTGTTCTTCGCATTTGATCAAGTTTCAGTAGTATCAAGTATAATGTACGTACTAAATAATATGTAATCTTATGAATGAAAATAAAACATTGCGTGAGATTTACACTTGTATGTTATCTTTTAGCATTACACTCTACATTACAAGTTTTCAAATTAGTCCTCTAAGTATTTTGAATTTCTCGCGGGCAAAAACATTGACCGTGGCGCCATCTATTCCCTGCAACTAAAACACTCAATACGCATGTGACTTTCGCGATATACGATATTCTCATTTTCAACTTTTACTAGATGAAAATTGAAAAAGTAACAACTAGATAACTTTTGGTTTCCAACAAAACAAATTGCACGTGTTTTTGTAAATTATAATCAACGTATCACAAAAGAACAATCTATTGATCTATAATTTTATCATAATACTTTCAACTGCAAATGAACAAATGGAAATCGATTATCAAATGTTTTCTAATTATTTGATTTTCCACGTGTGTAACATACGTCACGAGTCAAATTGATGTTATTATGCTATGAATATAAACTGCTGATTTTTGAAGAACGGTTCATTTTATTAGGTATTATGTATATTATAACAAAAAATAACAAATCTTTTGTTTACTTTTAATAATGTATTGTCAAATGATTTTCTTTTTTTAGAAATTGTAAACTTTTGTTTTATATTTGAATCATGTGCAAAGCAAAAGCAAATGTGGTGCTTGTTATTTAATTTGCAAAAGATAAATATTACTACTTGGAATAAAACATTATTGCTTATTGAAGTAAGTTTGCTTCACGAGGAATGGAACGCGGGGGATTCAAGGAATGCGAGGTGCGTGTAACAGGCGTGACCTTCCCAAGGTCAGACAGTGTGTAAAGGAACAATGCACATGGGACTTGATCCATGGTAGTCTACTGCGATACAGTACAACTGGTAACAGCAATTACGATTTCAACCAAAGGAAACACCGTGTGTCTATTCTTTTGATCATTCAACTATTCGCAGATGCAAACATTGCTAATGACAATTGTTACTTTTATTAAAAAATGTTCAATTTTCATTTAAATGCAAATTACATGTTTTCGTAACAATAAGATAATTACATTTATAACTTAATTTGAGAATAAAGATATTTATTGTTATATATCAAAATGGTATTAATATTCCAATATTTTTCAGTACTTTATTGATATTGATACATTATATATAAATATTAACTTTATATAAGTATAACCTTATTAACAGATTTTAATTATTTATATCTATTTGATTGTGAAATGTATTAATTTTGATTTTTGCTTGTATTTATTTTCATTCTATTCGTATCATTTTAATTTATAATTTTTAATACAAATTTTGACTATTAGTTTCTTTATTCCGATTTATTTTACATTTTATCTCTTTCAAACTATAGCAATTAAATCTGCCTGATATATTTTAATATTCTATCAATATTGGGATTATAATTTTAAAATTGAACTAACAGCGCATCCTAGTGACGAACACCGAAATTCAATATAGTTAGGCTAAACTGTAGTTTTAAATAGTTTGAATGCTTTGTTGTGGTTATGGATGAACTTCTCCCGCCAAATATGTCCTACTGTGACTACGTATTACACACCTATTGAATACATATATATATATATATTTAATAGTGTTAAATTTTATAAATATTTTTTGTAATAAAGTAAGAAATATATGTGACATACAGTGAATGTGTTTAATTTTTTATTAAAATTTTATGTTTAGAACAAACTAATATACAAAAGAATATCGAATAGGCGTAGTTTAAAAATGTCAGATACAAATGTATTAAATTGGACGGATTTACCGAAGGAAATAAGTGAAGATTTTATTTCACACGTTGGAGATTATGACCATCCATTATATTTATCCGAGAAAGAAGAATGGATTCATTTCAAACATATTAAACTTTCTCAAGGTATTTTACAAAATTAAAAATGTTAATTAACAAATAACATTTAAATATATTTTAAAGATTAAATATGATACTACAACAAATAAAACAAATTACTTTAGGTAGAATAATAGTTGGTGAACCCTTTTTAATAATGGAATTAAATAGATTTGTGCCTTACTTAGAAGGGACACATGTAAAATTTCATCCTCTTAATATGCCTAATATCAAAATAGGAAAGATTGAAATAATGGGATTTGTAGTTGGTGTTTCTGAGATTGCAAACTTTTATGAGTATCAAAGTAATACAATATAAACATTCTCCAAGCATTAATAAAAGGTTTTGTGTTAAACAAATCTTCTAAGTAAAAATTTTTATAGTTGATGATGGTACGGGAACCATTACAATATTTTATGACAAACAACATTTTCAAAAAACTATTTGGCAAAGGCAGGAAATTGATAAGAAGTATAATACATATGTAAAGAATATAGATATTAAAGTATTAAAATTTCAAGAATTACCAAAACGTATGGTAAAACCACGGCCAAAATTTAACTATCCTGATGGTACAAATAAACATGATATAGCTGTAAGTAAAAAACTATATTTCCCATTATAATATACAAAAGAGGAATATGTTAATGTACATATTTATTTTACATAGATTTTAGAACATAATTGGGCACTAGAAACAAATAATGGTAAATTGGGTAAAAAAGTAAAGCGATGTGAATATATACACGCAGTGGGTTATTGCACACTTGATTTTCTAAATAGACAAAAACCAACAGAAGAAATTACCTTTAGTGACTTATCCAATGCCAAACTAAATTTCTTGGCAAATGAGGTTACTAATCTAAGTGAACATCAGTATAATGAAAAATTCATTTCATGGATGAAAACAGTTGTTAGAAGAAGATATGACAACGATTTTAAATGGCCAGCATCATCTTCCAAGTAATAAAAATTTTGCATTATCTATATATTTTATCTATATCTTAGCTATAAAACTCTGATAAAAGTATGTAATTCTTGCGATTTATAGAAGTAAGGGATATTTATTATGATACTAAATGCATTATTGAAAAAGTATTTATTTGGATCAGTTTGCAAGTGCTTTATTTATACGTTAAACATCATACATGAAATTAAAATATTTTTACAAATTTTTACATTCAAAATATAAGAATTTTCATTTTTTAATAAATATTCGATTATTAATTATTTCAGACTGTAATATATTTAGATATAAGTAGAAACTTTATGTATCAGAATTATCCAATTCTTTTATATTAAAATTATTCATTTCATTTACAAAACAAACTTGAATTGAAATGTCACATTATATGATTTAGTTCTAAACATACCAAAATTCTTTATGCTTACTCGCTTGGTAATTCTTTATTATCCTCGGTCAATAATGTACACAATGATGGTATTTTTTTTTTTGACAGTCAGTCCTTTCAACTTCATTTTGTGATAATAACCAACATAGCTTTCAAAACTCCTAGATTTATTTATTGAAATTTAAATCATTTTTCTAGTATAAATTCCCTTTTAATAGTCTACGAACATATCTGTTAAATGTGTGCTACGTTCCCTTACTTTTGATAAGAAAGTAGGGGAGAAAGATCAGGAGTGGGGACTAATACTATCAGCATCACGCATCCCGTATCTATTGATGCGACGGATGCGCCACGCGATTTGTTGCTTTGAACAGGTAATGAGGCGTGTGATCCACATTATTTTCATATCGAGGGATCATTTACACGTAAGACCTTAAAAATCGATTTATTTTTTATTTAATTTTTGAAAGTAATGATTTTTCAAACTTAAAACTTTAAATATGTTTTTCTCAAAACTATTCTTTGGGAATACGAAATAAGTTTTTAAATCATTTTTGTCAAGTAAATTGTTGAAATGAGTCATAATGTTAGATGTAACATTTACTATAAAAAAAAGTAATAAAAATGGTTAAAATTTGCAACATTTACATGAGAATAACCCTTTAAGAAAGTCTGATACCCTCGCCCTCACTTTTGTCAGTCTCCATCCCCACGCCCGCGTACGTCATTCTCCATTCCTAGTCCTTTTCCCCTACTTTGCTGTTGAAAGTAGGAAAATGTAGCACAGCCTGACAGCTCTTTGTACAAGTCTTTAGTATGCTCGATGCTTGAAGATGGTTCCAAAATATGGTCCTTCTCTTATAAAAATCATATTATGCAAACTAAGGGTGTACAACACAAATTTCTCAGAACCGCATCATACTATACCGACCTGCAAATGTTGTGTATTGTCATAATTATGAACCTATTTTCTGGCGTCTAAGGTTATTGACTCTTGAACAACGTCACATTTCAGCTGATTTCATATTTCTTTATATAGTAATTAATCAATTAATCGCATTTTCTAATATTACACACATATTGCATTTTTGTGCATTGTCATGTCGTTTAAGAGACGATACCCCTTTTTCGCTCGATACAAAGAACTCGTTATTTTTATTTCAACTATATAAATCAATGTATTAATGCTAATCGATTTAGTGATCTTAATTCCTTTGATAGCGCCATATTTTCTTTAAAACAGCCTGTTATTAAGATGTAATTTTTTTGATCTATTTAATACTAATCTACCCAATTTTATTTCTTTGTAACAAAGGGTATGAACCCGTGGATAACAATAAAGAATTATTATTGTTATTATAATTCGGTTTTATTTGAAATAATTATCAGTTTATGATATTGATATCCAGTTAAAGGCAAATGTGGTGCTATTTCACTTGGTTCTATAAAAAGTGATGGTGGAGCCTAAAAAAAATAAAATGTTTTATTTCATTTATTATTAATGTAATATTATTAATATATATTCGAATTTTAATCATATTTCAATGTTAAAGAACTACTTACACGTATTTCTTCAACTTTGGCTTCTCTTGATGTGTATTCTCTCAATAAATATTCTTGACCAAATTCATGATAAAGCCGTGTATCATTTATTCTTAGCATTACACCATCAATTCTCAAAAAATATCTTAATAAAATGAAAAAACTACTTGGCATAACTCGCTATGAAATCAGTAAATGCAATTAAGATGCATATTTTCCTTTAAATTAACTGAATTTATATGGTAATTTTATTAACTTACAATTTTTACAGAACAAACTGCAATGCCATTATCATGAAGCTCATCCTCAAACAATGTTAAGTCATGATAGAACAAGATTTTGTCCCTTCTTCTTAATTTATCTACATCAATTCGTTCATTAGTTTCTTGAATCTCAAAGTTGGAAATCGTGCCTGTATAAGTAGTTGTAAATGTCCAATCAAATGGTTTTACTTTTTCTTCTAAGTATTCACTGCTTTCTGATCTATTTATAATGATAATATCAGTTAAAAATTTATCTAGCATTAATAGATAAATCAATAAATATGTATGTTTGTACCTAGATTCTTTCCAAGCTTCTGCACATGCTAGTTGCACATTAATTTTCCCATTTGATACAGTTTTCAAAGCATCTAAAGCATTGAATTGTATAAATGCACCATCCTGATGCTTTAATGTTAGTATATTATTTGGAAATACCATATCTGGCATATGTGGCAGTTCTAAAGTATGGCTGAAACTATGGAATTACTTATATGATATAAATTGATTATGGTTACATAAAGAAAGTTGTACGGTATACATGCAAAATTGACAGGCATCAGCATCCTTATCGCCACAACCATTTTCACTTTTGGAACACTTAGAATGAAGTATATGTGACTGAGTATATTTGATATGCCACGGTGGAAATACATGTTCTTCTTGATTCACAGGAAGTCTTAATATATCAATACCACCATGAACCTTTACTGCTGTCATGGTCTAAAAATATACCAAATAATAGGACACATTAACATTGACATAATTATAAAAGTTTACATAATGGTATTAATATTAGAAATATTCATTAGTAATTATAAATATTAATATAGGATATTATCAAGAAGTTTTATCTAATAGACAGAATACTGTAATTAATTAAAATAAAATTAATAGAAGTAGAATAATATGCTTATATATATTGATTTACTAATAAATGTCATATTTTTTTGTTATAATTTAATTCTATGTTTTAACATTTGTATTGTATTACAGTGATATACCAAATTTTATTTAGCTTATAGACCGTTATAGCTTTAATGGTTAATAGTTGATTTGTTTTTCAATGTATTTAGCTGTTATTGACAACATGTTATAACCTGTCACATAGTATTTATAAGACATACTCACCAGAACTTGTTACAGAGCTTAATTATTAAATTTATTTCCAAATAACATTGCAAATCTTATTGTAATTATTTAACATTAGCTACTATTTTCGTTTGAATTTTTAATTTTTTACTTAATTGTAAATTTCTATCGAGCGTGACAATCGTACCTCATTCATAATACTGTGCTTCATTACCGACTGTACATAGAGCACAATTGCTTGCTTTCGTAAAAATTATATACTTCTTGTATTTGCACTTAAAATGATACTACGACATCACATTATGAATATGTTTTTGATATAACTTTATTTAAACTATAAAAAATTTCCAAAGTTTATGAATATTTTTTGATAATAAACTGCCATGAAAGTAGCAGAAGGAATCGAAAATATCGAAGTATTTAAATTAACAGCTAGATATCTTTGTAAAATCTTTTTAAAAATAATAGCAAAGAAGCTTATATTACATTAAAATTAATATAAGACAGTGAGATACAAGTACGATAAGAATAGGCATGCTAGTGATCAAGTGCTAGGCACTATTTAATGAAATTTAATACCGATCATTTTCCAAGAGCGACTTATAAAATTGAATTCCGGCTGAAGTTTTAAGACCACATTTACTTCGCTCTTTCATACGGAAATAACCGAAGTGATTGTAGAAGATTCGGGCGAACCCAATCAGTTCTCCCTGAGTATAGGAAGAAGCAGTTACGTGTTGTATAAGACTCGTGTGTTTAGAATGTCGATTAAAAAATCAAATTTATCGGTAGGATTTACTCAAGGAAATGCCGAAGAAAAGAGAAAATTTTTTAGTGAAAATCATATACAAAAAGTTAAATCGGTCGCTGGTCACGTTGGACTTTTGATTGCATTGATGCTGTATACAGTAATTGGTGGTTTAGTAAGTTAAACTTTTAGATATATATTTCTAAAAGAAGAAAGATAATTTTTGAAGTCATTTTTTGTTAAACAACTGTATAAAAAGTACTATTCAATTTAAAAATGCGACTCGATGAATCAGAGTCTTTTATAAAAAGTTATACGTTAAAGAAATTTTATAAATAACTTAAATGCGTACAAATAAATTTTAATGATAAATAATATTCAGTTAATATCATTGAACCTTCCAAAAAGTATTCAAATTTTTAACTGTTTGTTTACGCGAGTTTACATGGAATGCAATATTTACAGAAATAACAACGCAGTTCTGGATCTCCAATTGGTATCTTTATTTTTAGCAATGGACCAATCGCACGAATCGATGCGATTAATACTAACCTCCTTTGTTAAATGTTCATATTTATTGTTTTTAAATCGTAACTTTTTAATTTACATCGTAATACGAAGAAACATTACCATGGGATAATTTTAAACCTTTTCTTTTATAAAATAACGACGTTATCGAAATGTAAACGGAACGTGCCTCTAGAGCATGTAAAACGTCATTAAACCGCCAACTACTCGAGAGTCAAGAGGTCTACAAATATGTGTATTAACAACCATTAGCAATAAACAATTATTTGTATACTTTAGAACTACGTAATTTTAAAACGATTTCAGAGTATTACAATCGAAATAATATGAAGCGAATTCACTAGAATTTTATCGTTATTTTATTAATAGGTCTTTCGACATATCGAACTTCCGGCAGAACTCGCACGTCTGGAAGCTTTGCGCGCCAATTTACGCATTCAAAGATACTCATTTGTCGATTCGATTTCCAACAATACTGATGTGTCAAATTTACGCACACTGGTAAGTCGATGTTTTAAGTACTGATAGTACAACTTTGAACTTCGATTCGAAATAGTAGTCATTTAATGGACGCGGTTAAATTTGAATTGACCTTTCTAAACGTACCAACAGTTTTTGCATGTATACAAAGAATGACAAGGATGTTTACAGGTTAGTGTAAAATTACGCGCGTACGAAGAGTCAGTTCAGGAAGCAGCACAAGGTGGCCTATTGATCACTTTCGTGGCAGATTCAATCGATCAAGAAAATCGACGTACTGCAAATGTATTGCCGCTTGCAACTGAAAGATGGAGTGTTCTACAAGCCGTTTTTTTCGCAAGCACTGTTCTTACTACGATTGGTAATGAATAATGATTAAACGTCCATCTCGTAAATAAGCCTATTGACCTGGTCAGGAAATTGAACTTGTTGTAATTCTGACTATAACTGGGTACAAGTTAATATAATTTTGAATAAATGGAATACACGTGTTGTTTTGATATTTAATTTTCGATTTATTTTTTTTTTTTTGTGTGTGTTTTTAAGGATATGGGAATGTCGTACCATTAACTAATGGAGGTAGGATGTTCTGTATCTTGTTCGCTTTCGTCGGCATACCTCTGACGTTGATAGTAATAGCCGATTGGGGGAAACTATTCGCCAGAGGTGTAGTTAAAACAGCTTTGGCCCTGAAATCGAAACTTCCGTTTCGCTTTTCCTTTTCCTGCATTCCGACGAATTTAGCTGGAAGGCGGTCGCTCGGTAAATTTAAGTAGCTCATTTGAATTACGTAAAATGTAGAAACACAAAAAGATAACCTACCTTATATTTACACTGTTTTGCGTACATTGATTAATAAATATCTGTACGAAGAAAAGAAAAAAATGTTGATATTCGATATTTATTTTTACTTTTTACAGGAGCATTTACAGCGGTTGTTTCACTTTTTCTGTATCTCGCTTGTGGTGCAGGTATGTTTATGTTATGGGAAGATGACTGGGACTTTTTCGATGGATTTTATTTTTGTTTTGTGACAATGACCACGATAGGATTCGGTGACTTAGTGCCGAGTAAGTATCAAAATACGTGTTTATTATTTTTAAGACGGTTTTCACAAGGTCACGTGAATTCTGCGATATAATGGTTTTTATTTTACGTATAAGAGGATACTGGCATTCGTATCCGTGTAGTACGTGTTTATACGTTATTATAGCTACGCTTCTTGTCGTCGCTTATATACAGAGAAACCGAAGTACACGTTACTATGTACGCTTTATATTCTGGTTGGTTTGGCGTTGACGAGTACCATTATTGAACTTGTACGACGGCAATATGCTCAATCGTGGAGAAGATTGCAGAGGCTTAGTGGACCATTGGCGGAAACTATTCGCAGATTAGGTGAACAAGCTGGCGGTGATATGTCCGCCCTACATTCAGATCTCAGGTAATTATGAAATTAAAAAATATTGTTCGTATAATCATCAACGATAATGTCAAAAATTGTTTCGTTATCGTTAATTTTAGGAGAGTTTTGACAGTAATATCAATGCCACGTTTAAAATGGTCAGCTTCTTTGAATCGAGGAGACACAAAAGATCAAGAATGGGAAGAAGCTGTGGAGGCTGTGCTTCGTGACATTGCTGCAAATACTAATAATACCCAATTAAAGAAGAAACAGATAGTACAAATTGTGATTTACGAGTCGAGCGTCTGACTGAAATCAGGATTCCTGATTATTTATTGCTTCCACGATAAGTTTTTGTTATTTTATTCAAATGCCATGTTAAGATATTGTCAAAGGAATGATTTATATTTTTATACTATTCATCGTATACGTTGGTTTTACTTGAACTTGAAAATTTTACCCGCGTGAACTGCGCACATCAGTAGATAAAACCGCGAACGCGCAGAAACCACAACCCTGAGTTCGATCAGTAGTCCTAATGTTGGACTGACCAGGCTGACAAAAACAATAATTTGTACGAGTACGAGCAATCACTAATTTTAGAAATCGTGGTACCACACGAAGCAGCAAGAGACCTTGTTCTGCGTTCATTGTCGGCTCTTATTGTGACATCTGCGTTTGTTGAATCGGTGATAATTTCGACCTAATGGTCTAGATCATGCAAAATAGAACCGAACGACCGTCAACTATTGTGTGTATTGCGTATCGTGTGCGTATTTAAATAAATTACTTATAAGAAAATATAATCGACGTGGTGCTCGTATTTGATAGTTTTATATTAGGACAATTCTAGTCATATATGAACATCTATATGTATATGTTTGAAGTCAAGATATACTATATGTGTATCTATACGAGTCTCTGGGGAAAATAACCGTTCTCCTTTAAATATTGATTTATCATATGTATGTAAGCCACCATAATAAGTTTTTCAGGATTATTCACAATTTATGCATGTTACATAATGCACTATAAAAATTGAAATTATGTACAAATATAACTGATCTTGAATATTTTTTTTTAAATATAATATATACAAGTCATAAAGTTCACTGCATATACTCAATATGTTTGATCCTTGTGTCATGCCATACATGTGTGTTTATGTATATTGTGTCGTGCGTGATCTTCGAATTTATTGAAATATAACTTACCGTTATAAATTACTGAATTATTTTAGAAGGGAAATATTTAATTAATACAGCTATATTGTACTTTTTTGTACTATAACGAACAAATTAATTATTTTCTTTCAATTCTTTTCTATTCAGCAATTAAGTACAATGATCGGCATTAAAGATCCGACTGAACCACCGAAGCTAGAGCAACTAAAACAAGGACATGAACAAATGAATTACGCAATGAAATCCGTTACTATTCAAAATCTGGATTTAGCAAATATTCAAATGCATTTTTTCGAGTTCTCTAAAGGCATGGCAGACAAATTCAGGTGACCGACTGTACAATTAATTATACTTTTATTAACAGATTTATTGTAATTAATGAATAAGATAGTTGATATTCGATGAGAAATATTTATAAATAATATTTTTTTTATTTCTTAGGTCAATATTGGATAACTTGAAAGCTCACATTCAACGGTTTTATGAACAAAACCAACCTATATTTGATTTATTTTCTTTACCACAACTACAAGAATGGTCTGAACGTAAAAAATAAATTAAAAGTGTGGAAATATCAATGTTTTTTGATAGATTCATGTTTTTAAAATTCATAGTTAAAAGAAATAAATAAGTTTGCACATTTTTTGGTGAAATAAAATTGTTATAAACGTTTTAATGGTAAAATTACTTTAATAAAAAGAGTCTAATAAAAAGACAATTATCATTTGTTTTTTAATATACCTTAAATAACAGATATTGATACATTATTATTTAGATGTAAATTACATAACTAACGTCTAAAATTTAAAATGTAACGGTTAAAGTCGATGTATATCGTTTTCCAATGGTAGCGACGTGTCGAATATGTACGTTGCATGTACATTGTACGCCATCTTTGAACACTATTACCGCCAATCTACTGCGTCTTAACGAATTTCCTTATTTGTTAGGCGCGAAATATTAACATTGTTTTCGAAATTATAGTTGATTTTTTTGAGTGTAGATTATTTTCTAACTAATCTATTTTTGTTCATTAACCTTTCTGTGTCAGTATGCCAACACAACACTGTTTTCTATGTGCGAGCGATGAAGGTGTCTTCTTGGATATTACAGCGGATAATAAACAAATATATTGCGATCAATTTGAAACCTGCTCACTTGTCAAGGTACTCTTATCAAAAGAAATATGTATTTTGAAATCATTAATTTGCGAGTGGAGTATTCGAATCTTGTTAAATTTGATAGAGTAAATCTGAGCGTGCGTCGATATTTGTGCACATTGAATAACGTAAATATTCGAACAAAGGGTGTGTTTAAGCTCTTTGAGATTACACATAAATATGATAAAAAATCTCTTATTATTATTATTAGTATCATTATTCGTTATGAATAACAGTAATATAAAATTTGTTAAGCCATTAATGTACAAAGATTATGATAGAGGTTAAGCGAAATTGTTTAATTATTTTTATATATTTACGAAATCTTAGCAATACTATTTTGTATAGAACTTAAAAGTTCATGATTAATTCTCTTATATGATTAAATAGCAGATTCGTACTCTACAGTAGTTTAAAAGTTCAGACATATATTTCTGCTTGTTTTATTGGAGTCTTCTAGAATCTTTTGCATTATTATATTCTTATAGGAGATTTATTGAAGACACCTCAATTTCAGTCATGCACATAATTTTCTATATATACATTTTAAACTACTACATTGAAAAAGTGATATTGATTTTATCGGAAATTTTGTTTCTCAATATAAAAAGGCATAAGATATTACAAATTAAATGTAACTCTGTATTTAAACAAACCCTGATAAGTGCAAGTTTAACAAATGTTAAATGGATTATGTAATTCTTTGCATTTTGTCATATTCTTTCTATTATAGTTTTAATTCTTGATTCAGGAAGAAAAGATATTTACTTTGTTTTGATGTATTTCTAACCACATTAATTATTTATTACTTGTATAGGTACCAAGAGCAGATCAGTTGCCAACTAAAATTTGTCATAAATGTGCATATGAATTAAAGCAATGTAGTTCTTTTGTACAAAAGTATAAACGTGGTTCAAAGCAAAGGGCAGCTTTTCGCAGACTGTGTTGTACTTTGTGTCGTGAACCAGCAAAAAACGAATTCATCTTTGATATTAGTAAAGAGAAGGATTTGCAACGTACTTCATTTGATAAAATACAACAACTTTTTAGTTATGAAGTATGAAATATTTAATATAGTAATTCATTAATTACAATACTTAGTTAAGATTAATTACATTATTCTTGGTATATCTTTATAGCTTGGAAAATCTTATGAAGAACATAAATTAATATGTTTATCTTGTCGATATACAATAGATTTGTTATTGGATCTAAAGAATATATGTAAAGAAACTGCAACTAAATTGAATGATACAGTCAATGAGGAAATAGATTATTTAACTTTTCCCAAGGTAATATCTTTTTATATGTTATATTAAATCATATTATTTATGTCATGTCATATACATTAAATTTATGTTGTTTATAGTATTTTATATTATCATGTTTATTTTACAGATAAAAACTACTGTTATAAATCGTAAAACCACTATTACTGAATCTGCTCGTACAAATTTATATACTTCGCAAGAATCAGAAAGTGACGAAATGACTCGTACGCGATCTCAAAGTAACAAAGTAAGCAATAACAAATTAAAAGAGAAAACAAAGTTACAAGTTTGTAGTAAATGTCATGATTCCATTAAAATTGGTCATGAAACATATAAAATTCACAAAACAAAAAGCATTGTGTGCAAAACTTGTTGGAAAAATATGGATATGCATTCAAATGAAGTTAAGAAACAAATACCACAAAATCTCACAGAAATCAAACTTTGTACAGTTTCCTTAAAAGATGTATTAAAGGATACTGAAATAAAAGAGAAGAAGCTTTATAGGATTGATGAAGATGACAAAGGTAATAAAGCATATGTTATAACAGACAAAGATTTGGCAAATGGAAATAAAGAAATGGAAACTAGTAAAGTAGTTACAGGAGATAATACAGAAAAGCATGGTCAGAAACGTTCTGTTAAAAGTATAAAATCTACAAATGATGAAGATGTACCTAACAAGAAGCATAAAATTGATGTAAAAGAAGCTAGTGTTAACAATGTAAAGGAATCAAAACTTGTTACAAAACAGTTAAGGAATCTTAGACAAAATAACGGTACTCGTAATATTAGTCAAAGTTCCGACTCAGACTCTCCTGTACCAAAAATTGGTAAAAGAAGTGAAAGAATCTTAACAAGACATAAACGGGCAACTGGATCATCCTTGTCTGATGCAGATATTGACAGTAAACATAATCGTAAAAAATTAAAAACTATTTTAAGAGGCATTGCTATAGATAAAAACGCAGATGTAAGTGACGAATCGTCAAATGAAGATGTTATGTCAAAGAAAAACCAATTGAAGTCAACAAACTCTTCATCACTTATATCAGTAGATGTAATTGCAAAGGATAAAACTGAGAAAAGTTCTGAGAAAAGTTTTGAGAAAAGTTCTGAGAAAAGTTCTGAGAAAAGTTCTGAGAAAAGTTTTGAGAAAAGTCCATTATTGCGAAGAAAAAGGAGTACTTATCAGAAATTTACAAAATCATCTACTGTTAACATTCCTGAAGAATTACAATCAGAATCTGACAGTAAAGAAGATATATTCAAAACTCGTACATATGTATGTGACGAATGTGGAGCCAGTTATGAAAATAAACTTATGGGTTTAACACACAAATTGATGCATTACAAACAACCGAAACTAAAATTACAAAAATTAAGTGACAGTTTAATAAAAGAAGAACTAGGTTCAAATGAAGCAGTTGATGATCAATCGGAAGATTTGTCCGAAACTATAGGAATTACAGTAGAAGATGATGAAGAAGAATTGATGGAAGATGAAAAGAATTTAAATACAAATAATGAAATAGATGTTAATTCAGATTCGGAAAGTAGAATTAATTTCTCTAAAAAGGATGCAGTAGAAGATGCAGTTGATGTAGAACTTGTTATGAAAGAATCTGATGATGATCAGATACATAAAACAGTGAAAGAGACAAAAGATTTACAAGAAACTGAAGTTGCTGATAAGTCAGTGCAAAATGAAAATGAAACTAAAGAACAAAAGGATAAACAAAAAGAATGTGAAGACAATTATAATGACAATGATAAGACTGATAAAAGTATTTGTGAATCTGTAGAAGATGAAAATGTGAATACAGAAAAAACACAGGAAATCTTATACAGTGATACTGAAGATGTACAAGAAAATAGTAAAGGAGAAGATAAAGAAATGAAAGATGAAGAAAAAAACAATGAAAGTAACATAGCAAAAGAGCAAAATGATGATGCTACTGAAGAAAGACAAAAGAAAGATGTTATTGAAGAAGAAGAAAAAGAAAATATCAATGAAGAAGTAAAAGATATTACTAATGAAAAGGGAGAGGAAGAAACAGGAAAAGAAGATGTCACTGAGGAGGAAAAAGAAAAAGAAAAAGAACACGTTATTGAGCAAAGAGAAGAGGTAGAAGATGTAAGAATCGATGCTAAAGATAGCGAAGAAGAAGAAGAAGAAGTAACGTGTGTTGACCAAGAAATTGAAGCAGTTGATAGCGGAAGTTCAAATAAATCTAAATTGGATGATGATATTATAGAAGAAAATAAAACTAACACTTCTAAAAAAATTGAACAAGCTAATAATAAAAATAAAGAAACGAAGAAAAAAATAGGCGAAAAATCCGATAATATGAATGATATACAAGAACTTAATAAAAAGTCTCCGAAATGTATGCAAAAAACTAAAGTCTTTGACGACAATGAAATACAAACAAAAACAAGTGATATTGATTCGAAAGAATCGAAAGTTTTGGAGGAGACTGTGTTACAGGAAGAAAATAGCACAAATGATAAGATCGGTACTGATATAAGTAGTGTAGAACTTTCGGAATTAGATATTTCAAAAGACAAAGAGTCAGCTAGTGATTCTGCAAATGCAGCTGCGGAAGTGTTGCAAGAAATACTGGACTTAGCAAGCGCAAAAGTTCAAAAACAGCAAGAGATTATCGATATAAACATCGAAAATGATTCCATCGAATCAGAGACTTTGGAAAACATATCACGTGAAATCCAAAACAGTGTTGATATGCCACCTCTTAAAATGGACGATGCCAAAAGTGAGAACGGTATCCACGTGGAGTAATTTTCTTAACTATATTAATTACCATTTTTCTATGAAAGTTAAGTATAGTTTTTACAGTTTATAAAGGTCAAGTTCCCTTTGCTTTTGTTACTTAGAAAATTTTTTTTTATCATTAATTCATATTCACATAAAAAATGTAAAATGTAACAATTACTACTTGAAATTTGTATAAAGTACACAATCCTAGTTTACATTTTAAAGTACTAATTCCGATTTTATATTTCAATATAAAATTAATTGAAAATATATTACTGAATTATAAATAGCACTGTGTATAGTGAATTTGTAATTTACATAATTCATGATGAAAGTGTAATTGATTGTCTTACAGTAACTGTATGTGATTTCTAGGAATGATATTTAATTTTTTTAGTATCTTTTACTGTGCAACGAAAAAGACTATAGTATATACTCCTAAAGAATTTACTTTCAAAGTAAAAAAAAAAAATTGGGAAGGATGATCAAACTAATTTTTACTAGCAGCAGAATTTAATATTTGAAATTTTATTCTTTTTTTTAAGATAAGTAAAATTTCTTGTAAGATAAGTAAAAAGTATTTTGTACACAGGTTTTGTACTAGTTTACCTTTGCATTAGTTAAAGATATTTAATGTTAATTTTTAACTACTTAATTCTATTGAAGTGTTTTTCTATAATTAGCACTTAGAAAATTAATTGATTTATTTTTTAATGATACTAACAATTAAAAATTTGTGTACTTTTAAAAATTGACAGATACTATTGATTGCACACAATGTATGATATATCGTTTTTAGTAGTATAGGTACTATGTGAAATATTTGTACCTTTAATATATTTTAATACAGTTACTTTATTGCAATATATTACAGTGAAAAAATTTTCAAAGATAAATTTCCTCCATCCAATATTGTGTATTTTTTTGTATCATAGATTAAGAATTGAACAATCATTTGTGTGCAATGTATCCGCAGGAAATGTGTCAAAATTTATATATTTTATTAGCACAATTAATTTTTAGCTCATGAAATTTAATTTTTGATTCGGTAATACTCTTTACTTTCAAGAGGAGTTAAAAATATTTGTTTAATTTTCTTAACGATTCTATAACTTGTAGACCTCACTGTGCTATAGATTGACCACAAACACTAAAAGTTGAATATACATATACCTTAATTTTTTAATCAAATATTTTAATAAAGGATTTTTGTGTTTTAATATATAATTGTACAAAAAAAAGCACCGTCGGTCGGGTTAACGATGTAATCGCCACATACTGTTATTCATTTCATTTTAGTGTCTTTATTCTTACTATTTCAAAAATTAGTAAGTCATTGTTTTATAATTATCTTATTCAATCAAAATTCAGTAAGCTTTGTCGAGGGTATAATTTGAATACAAGTTCGATTATGCGCAAGTTGTTCGTTTAAGAGTTATCGCAATCGTACCCGAAGAAACAAAGCTCTTATATTTACATGTAAAATTGAATAAGTATAATGTAAAATAAAAACGGTGGAATTCTCGCAAGAATCAATTTTATTAAGCGTAATTGTTATATGTGGATGTTCAAATTTGTGATACTGCTTTATCGTTGGGAATTCTAAAAGATATTGCCGATGAAACCGTATCTGAATTTTCGTAGTGGATTTCGAAGTCCGATCCTGTGTCTGAAACATTCACGATGAATATATTCAATAACATTATAATTTCCAATAAAATGGTATATTTATATTCGTCCACAGTATGTTTAATATAGGTAATATTAAAATAACGAAATCAACATAAAACCGTTCTGACATGATTAAAAAATACCATAGGATCATAAGATCATGAATTATGTGCGTTTGCAAAGATTTTAGTATTTTAAGTAATCGTCCGTTAAATGTTTAGACTTTAAGGAAAGAAATTGTGGCCATCGTAACACGACAGTCAGTGTTAATGTATGTACGTACTATGTAATGAGAAATTTGAAGAAAATCAATGAAGTATGTATATAGCATAAGTACGTATGAAAAGAAAGATAGATATATATTGTAGTAGTACATGACGATGGATAGTAAATTCAAATTTAATCTTGGTTACCATGTGTCTTCTCAGTCCAGAAAGTTTCTCTGTAACTCTTCCACCGACAAAGTTTCAGCGTTGCGTTTTTATCATATTCACCACATTGTAATAATAATTCTATGTATTTCTCGATTCTCTCTTGCCCTTCAACAAACATATTATTTATGTCATATATGTATGAATGCCGAACTTTTGAAAAACTACAAATTTTAATCCCAATTATCTATCATACAGGGTAAACCATTTGAAGTTTCGCGTTCAATGATTTCTCAAACTCTAGTTCGTTTCGAAAAATGTTTCAAATGAAACTTACTCTGTTTCGAGGGGCATCTTATAATGGTCACAAAATTTTTTCTAGGCAGACGTGTTTCCGAGATTTCAAACTGACCTTGGCTTTTTTAAAAAATAAAACTGTTTATTTATTTATTTATTTCAGATAAACAGATAGTGCGTTTCAAGATGAATTCATTGACCTTTAATGCTTTTCTCTTGGAAGGTCGTTCAAGGTCACTTAATGTTGTTTAAAATGTACCTTTATTATACACTCTTGATGATATCGTCTTTCTGGATGCAGTAAATCGTGGTACGTTGTAATAATTTTGTATTTACCGCTAATGTAAGGATTACTCATAATTATTGCACTGATTATTGCAGTCTTTGGAACCTGTCTAGACCGGCTAGGCTGATGATAACGTAAATACCTTCGATGAGTATAACCTCGCAGCTTCCCTGTAATTATGTCGACACTCTCCCAAAACCAAAATCTTATCGACGAGGTCGTTAAGCGTATAATGTGCCATAGTAAATGTAAATGAAGAACACGTAATGTTAGTCACAATGAAACTGATATCTCCGTCACAATTGTGATAAGCTTGCAACACGAACTAAAACGGTTATTAGTTTCTGTTATGCATATATACAAAACGACGAAATAATCCAGAAAGATGATCTTTCGGGACGTTTAATGGAGATGAGTTTTAAACAGGATTAAATTCACTCCGAAATGCACTATCTGTTTATTTCCCAAAAATATATAGTTCTTTTTAAGAAAGACCAAGGTCCCCTTGAAATCTCGGAAATACGTCCACCTGGAAAAAATTTATGACGATTATAAGATGCCCCTCTTGTGAAACAGGGTAATTTTCATTTGAAACATTTTTTGAAACGAACTATAATTTGGGAAATAATTGAATACGAAACTTCAAATGGGACACTCTCTTTTATATATAAAAGGGAACTTGTATTTCTCACGTAATTAAGTACTCAATATTGCGATATGATCTGAGTTATATAAACATTTATAAATTGTTAAAGTGTGTAAAATAAAACAAATAGTAGCTGTATTTCTACATATTCGAGTAAATATCTTATGCATAATCTAGATTGCATGGATACACACATCTTGTATTATTGATTGTTATTGAAATGATCAAGCAATATTCATAGTTATATTCTTAAGTTTATGTAGCGAACATATATAGTATTTTTTTTAAATATAGAACCTTTAGAAATTCCTGCAATGCATCTTGCGCGATCAGCTTCGTGAGACAAATTGAGCCTATTGTACAAGTTGAGAGCAGTTTCCAAATGAGTGGTAGATAGATGTAATTTCCCCTATATGAATGAGAAATATTATTGCAATCTTTTATCGTTTGACCCAGTATGCTTTGCTGCATGAAATAAGTACTGTTTTGTTTAATTATTTCATATGGTATGTTAAGAATAATTGTAGTTTGTGTACCTTTTTGTATCCTATTTTTATTGTAATTCACCTTTTTTTGTAGCAACATTTTGACAATAATTGTAAACAAGGTAAAATAATTAAAATCTTAGTTTATTTTTATACCTGACTTAGGTAGTGTTCTCCAGTATAATAGTGCGCATCGGCAAGTTTTTCAACGAGGCCGAAATTGTTTGCGTTTTCTTGGCACATTCTTAAATGTTTCTCCGTATAATCATTGTCATTTAATTGCTACATGCATAAGTATTATTTACATTTTAACGGAATATACTGACCAGAGAAAATGAAACGTTAATTACTTTGTATGCAAATGCTAATTCCATGTGTGCATTGCAAACGCCTTCGATATCCGAGGTTCTTTTTGCGAGGGCTAATAACTTGGAAAAGCTTTGTAACGCACTTTTAGTCTCGTTTACAGCCATATAACACTTTCCGAGTTCGTAAAGTACTTCATTCACGTATTCGGCATTTCCAGCTGTTTTTATTTTTATTTTAATTAAATTTGCTGATGTACCTTTGTGTCTAACTTTGCATTTATGACAAATTGGTGGAAGTCAGTAAAGTTTACCTTCGGTAGCTCTTTCTGCAGCCTCTATACAGGCATTCAGAGCGGAGCTGGGATTTTCGCAGCGTTGATTGCGAGCAAAAATTAATAGTATTTTATACAGAAGGATATTGCATTCTTTGAAAATTGAATTTTGCTTTATTTCAAGTACTTTTGACGCATTCCATATTTTCTTCTCTGAATCTGCTCGCGCCTTCTTCAAATAATCTAAAGCTTCGTTTGGATTCTGCACTAATTGTATGATGAAAGGTATAATTTTTAAAAAGTTTAAGGTACGAAGAGTTTGAAAAATGTTACTCACATTCGTAAAAAAGAAATCGACCGTACAAGTAACGTATCAGGGTAATAGTTCGACCATCATCATTTACGATCAATTTTGCAGCTGAAAGAGCAATTTGATAGATATGCTCAGCTATCCACCACCATTCCCACGTTTTCGACTGAAAAAACAACGCCACATCTAGAAGTAACCTTGTTTGCTCAACGTGGTTACCTAAATAATTCGGTTATTCAATCAGTAAACTTTAGTCAGAGCTCTTGATCGAAAAAATTTATCGAGACATCTTTTCGTACCCTTTCTCTTGCTCTTTTCAGATGCGATTAATCCATCCTTCAAATGATTTATAAAATCTTTTTGATCTTTCAAAGATGGTTTCTTCCATGATAATAGTCCAGGTGTTCTATCCGTAATTTTTTCATCGAGATCTAAAAGTTCTTTCATGTAATGAAATACTTCTTCATATCCTTCTTCTTTAAGCTCTAGAAGGATCGCCTCGTAATATGGAATATAAAACCTAGTTACAATATTATAGTCATATAATTATACGTAATTCTATATTATAGTTGCTCTTATTTTTATAGATGTAGTTTATATTATTTTACTTATTTTAAATATATAAGGATAACAAGAACCTTCTCACTTGTTTGGGACTTATGTTTGGTAATGCGGCTTTTAAATCTTCTATAACTTTGCTTATCTCTTTCCCATGGGCCGCGGGCAAGGTTTTCAGTTTCATTGAATGATTTTCAATATATTCGTTAATTTTATTATCCGTGCTATTTGACCATTCTTTATAATCCTTCTTTAAAAATTCCACGACATCGTGCCTCTTTCCGTTCCCATATTTTGCGGCCATTATATTAAATGCTTTTTCGTAACCTCTTGGTAATAGATTGTAACCAGGACATGAAATGATGGGGGAAAAAGTTTTAGGAATATAATAACAACTATGTACTATAATTTCGCAACGCTATGGCTGCATAATTTATTGCAGAAGATAAATATCAACGTAAATAGTAAATATCACCTATACGCGTTATACGATCGACAGAAATGTACACATATTTATACACAACTATATAAGCTGAAGATATGGCTTCCCGCGCATGCGCACACAGTGCGGCGCACGAGTCACGTATGCCCAGCTAATAAAGTGCGCTGAACTTGTTGCGTATTGCGCGGGAAACCCGCCAATTGTATTTTCTCCTTTCAATCGGAATTTTTGTATAAAGCGTCCTCGTTGTCTTATGCCGTAGCAGCTACCATTTTCCTAGGTTCGAGTTTGACTTTGAATCCTTCAGCTCTCTTCAAGATGATGTCAGCCTGGAGTCTGAAATCGGATTCTTTGATGTCGGATCTTATACGGTAGTTTCTGAGGATTGTCGATAGGACGATCTTTAATTTGAGCATGGCGTATTTTCGGCCTACACAGGATCGTGGTCCAGCCGAGAATGGGACGAACGCGTAATAGTGACGGTTCGCGGTTTTTTCTGGTAAGAAATTATCAGGGTTGAAAACATGTGGGTTAGGGTAGATGTCTTCATTTCGGTGCAACTTGTAGGTGGCGACAACAACCGTGCAGCCAGCTGGGATAGTATAATCTCCAGACGCTGAAATTTTTGTGATTTTCGTTAACATTGATTTCGATGAAAGACAAAAGATCATCGTAAAATGTGAAATACTAACCTAATTTCAAATCTGTTTTAATTTCACGAGCAATGATAGGTACAGGTGGATACATTCGGAGCGTTTCCAAGAGACAACGTTCGAGGTATTTCATCTGTAAGGTGTCTTGGAAGGTGGCTGGCCTGTCACTGTCGCCAAAGATCTCGTCGAGTTCCTGGATCACTTTCTCCTGAATATCAGGATGGCAACCCATCATCGTGAGGAAGAAGCTGGATCCGGAAGCAGTTGTATCGTGTCCCTTTTAAACACACGTTTAAATTTAGCTTCTTGTACGTTTTCTTATCCAATATCGAACTTTTTTTTTTTAAATTTTACCTCAAACATAATGGTGTCTACTTGTTCTTTAACTTCTTTGTCAGAAAGAATAACGTTATTTTCACCGGCTTCGATCAGGAGGTCAAGGAAAGCCTGTCTCTTCTTTTCACCGACATCATCGTCCACGTCCAAATCGTCCTTAAGACCGATCGACTGGCCGAATGAAACACCCTCTACGACGGTGTTGGTCTAAAATTTATAAACATACCGCATTAATATGCTATTTTTCGATGAAAATTAAATGGGCAAGGTACACGTGTAAATCAAGTCGTTCCTTACTTTGGTTTCGTTCTTTTGGGCACTAGTGTCAATGATATTGCGTTTTCCGCTCTTGTATTCTTCCTTCTTCCGTTGGATGACTTTCTTGGTCAATCCGTGGATGACTTCGAGTAATTTGATCTGATTTTTACCGTACTTTGTCAGATTGAACAGCCAGTCAGGTCTGAGCCATACTTTGGTGTGACGTAGATGGAGAATGTCGCACATCCTGCAAATAAGTTTCGAATTATTTAACTTCAATTGAAATACGCATACATAACATGTAGTTATTTACTCTTAATAGAAATGCATCCATTTTCCAGTGCTTATGCAACACCGATTATAACTCGTACAGTACATGCACATTGGAATATTAGCAAACTTTCTCCAGAGGAAGAAAACGTTTGCGTAACAGGGACGGAAAAACGGAATACGTACTTCATCACGGCCATGGCGTATTCGAATCCACTGCGGTTCTGAGTAGACTTGGAAACGCCCATGGCAGTTTCCAGAAGAATTTCTACGGTGAGTTCAGACATGTAGTTATGGCAGTCGAATTCGTTTTTACCCTCTTTCTTCATTTTCTCCACAACAGCTTTCGCGTTTGCATTGAACAAGTCGATGAAGCTCTTCAATACGTTCAGATGGAAGGTTGGTGCGATCAGTTTGCGATGAGTACGCCATTTCTGACCTGTATTAATCATAATTAATCATCCAATTATCAGTTCATTTAACTTATCCAAAGATGAACTCGACATGAAGATGAAAATTTACAAATTTTTAGCTGCATCGTTTAAATAAACGAAGACCTTCAAAGAGAAAACATGATCTCCCTTAGGAAGACTAAAGATGATTTACGAAATAATATGTTTACGAGTTACGGCACAGAGAAACGAAGAGAAAGAACAAGCAGTTAAGTACTTGTCTCGCTCCAGTCGTGTTTCTGTAGTATCTGTATCACGTACATTCTCGCGAATGTGTAATTTCAATGAAATAATTTTTTTATTATTCTTTCAGGTTGTATTTTCACCAAAGTTGGTGACGAAAGAAAAGTATTAAAGAAACTGATGTCGTAACCAAAGTATAACTGCGAATACTGACTTAAACATCTTTCATTTCGCAAAGTAAATTCGTCGACTAATGAAATTACGAAAGTGAGTCATATCGCATTTTTCCTGCATTTCCAACGAATCGTTCGCGATTCAAAAGTTCTTCCTGTGCGAGGGAAGCAGTGAAGGGTACGAAGAAAGTTTTATGCCGATATATTGCACGCGTGCCGACCAAGTACGGTTACACGCGAAGCTGTTACGTACACATGTGTCGAGCTCGGTTACGTGGGCGATAAACGGTCTAAAGAGTTTCGTTAGGGGAGAAAAAGACTATCTGGACAGCGAGAAAGTTACGATAACAGTGCATTCGATCGTGAAACTGCATCTCGCTTCCTTCACCGGATTACGAAGTCGTGTAGCTCTCGCTGTCGCTCGTGAACACTTTCCTTCAAATTATTCTATATTTCGCTGCTTTTACTCGACTGTCTTATGAATAACCGATTGATAAAACCGCCTCCTTTTCGCGTACGCGAAATTTATATTATTTTTCTCAGTCATCGTGACGAGATATTCTCAAATTGAATAATACCGAAAATATATTGCCACGAAAAAGGTCTTCGTTCTATGTTTTTCATGAGTATTGAATTAAAAGATTTGTAACCGGATAAAAGAAAGGTATTTTTTAGAGTAGAAACTTACCACTAGAAATAAGGAGGCCATCACCAAGCCATGGTTTGAAGAATTGGTATTCGGGTGACTTGTCGATGTACACATGGCTGGAGAGGATCACTTCAACATCGCGAGGATCAAACAAGAAGACAACTAATTTGTGAGCGACCCACAACCTGATCACAGAGTTGTAATCATTTGATTTCTTTATCAAATTCTGGAAGATCGCTGTAACGAGAAAACGATACAGATATTCAATGTTTTCGAAGAGTAAAAATGATTTAGATTCGTTGGTTATATATATAAGATAGATTCGAAAGGTAACGTGAATTATTTTAAATATTATTATTTGGATTATGTTATTGATCTAACTAAAGGTACTATTATTTTTAATGTTTACTTACTGTCGGAGCTTCCAAGAAGTTCCAAAGCATTTCCTATGAGAGGCAGAGCTGGTGGACCTGGCAGTTTCTCGGCAAGTTCGATCATATGACGCCTAGAGATTCGGAAATAGATGTAATACAGAACGACTGCGGGGATGAGAAGAGATAAGAACACAGTGGTTGCTGAAAATCCGGCGGCCGAAGTGGTCGCTATTGACCCAGCTATTATTTCCGGCCCACTCGTAGACATGGTTATCTGAAAATAAAATGCAATCGTAATTGTATTTTCACCGTATACATTGCAAATGTTGACGAAGGGGTTTGAGAAACGAATCACGTAATCACATCGCGAACGCCTTCACTTGAATTTTCTCGGTGTCTCAAATTCAAAGCTAAATGATATTGGCTAATATCTATATGATATTTCAATTTTCACGAGTGTAGTGAGAAAAGAGAATTGCCCACCTAAATGATTATAACACTTGTACGATGAGGTCTTGTCGATGAACCACCATCGAACTGGATTTCCAACTTCATGCGATCTCTTTTATAACCGGGCCTTTCTACAGTCACCCCTACTTAAACAGAGATTTGCGACGTTAATTACTAGCTGTGGCATGCTTCTATTAGAATTGATAATTACTTCCACTCGAGTCCTTTTGTATTTTTTTGCATTTATCATATTTTGCCACACCGATCGTAAATATATTCCCTATTTATGCGATTCTCATACACGAAAAATCGTTTTCAAGTATGTATGTACATTCATAAATTAATATCTGCATAATTAATTGAACGTAGTCTGATTCTAAACGTACGTTTGTAGGATAAGGGTAATTTTTATACGAAAGCAAATAAGTCTTCGTGATATATCGTGTTATCTCGAGTGACAATAATGTATAACGATATGAAAAATATTGGAGCAATGAGAATGATCGCATTATCTATTAGTGCGTAGAAAGAAAGCTGTACACAGATTTCTCCAGTTAGCTGTAACATTATACTTATTTTCACTGGAAATGGATATCATTGAAGAAACTAATCAGTGACAACAAATTCATAGCGAGAGTAATTTCTTATCGATAACGATATAATTATTTCGAATATAAAGTATCTCATAATGGAATTAAAAAGCGAAAAGGAAAGAAATTACGTCAAGTCATCAAAAACGTAGGGAGCATTTCCGCCTTGACCTACTCCCCTGACACTTGCCAGCAGTTTTGTCATTTACAAACAATGCTTTCTTATTTTCGTTGTCTGCACAAAAATGATCGACTTCGTTCTTATAGCTTGTGTTACGTATTATTGCGACACTCGTTTAAATTTTGCCATAATGTATCGATTAATTTATTTACATATCGTTAAATATAATTAGAAGGAAATAAGCACCGAAAATTATATCAGCTAAACATATTCTCTTCTCAGGCTGCTTCCCATTGAATAATTACTTGCATTTATATTATAAAAAAATGTTAAATTACATCCGATTTTTTTTACTTTTTTTAGTTCGTTGCGTTTTCGTTGTTTAATTTCATAGAGTATTTGTCGATTTGTATTATAGCCCGATCGATTGAAACTGAAAAGTTTGCAGTGTAATGAACAAAATTCTCCAAAATGGTGCTTTAAAAAGATTTGTTTGAAAGTTATGAAACATTACGTCGCGACTTATGAAATAATGTCTCAAACTGAATTCCAGCTGTAATGCAGCTCACGTAAGACCATCCTTGGACAAGATAATCCATATTTCGATTTAAAAAAGAAAAACTTACGTGTATTTATGATTACAATCGCCGGATATCCTGGTCAATGTCCAATGACCCGACTTTCTGGCTTAATGACATATGACAATGTATTTTATTAGAACGATATTACGCAGGAGCATTTTATTGCAAATTAATTATAATATTATAAAAAGGTATCTGCATTGAAAATTCATGTTAAGCAAATACTTATTTGTAGTTACAATTTATTCTCTTAAGGAAGTGAATATAAGTATTCACATGTATATATCGAATGCAAATTAACGCATTAAAGAACAAGGTTGAAATTACTATAATATTATGTATTATTATATTATATTTTATTGTATATATGAGAATAATTTATTCGTATTTAGTTTAATATATTTACGTGTAATAACTTCAAGAAGTGCAAGTTATAATTTTACAATGATATATCAATAGAAGAAATAATGAAACAAATGGTCCCAGATACAGAGCATCCGAAAAGGTTAGGTCCAAACTGAGAGTATGTGTTATTGAGGTTTAATGGATGAAAAAAGTTCGTATAAACTTATAACTTGCTTTATGAAAAAGAAATATGGAAATGCTTTATTAAAAAGATACTTGTGACACTATAAGAAATGTTCGAAAATGTCTTTTTCTGCAGGCTTCCATTCGTCGAATTAGCGATTGTCGAATTCTTTCGAATATCCCATTTGTATTCGAAATAATAGTAAACGCTATAATGCCGCTACTATACCATTCAGACATATACCACTCGCTACGACAAACGCTCCCTGCATTCGCCTATACCGCAGTATTAATTCAATCGCAAAAGAGAAATCACAAAAAGATTGTGTGTTGTACGATTAATGTATTTGATCTTAGTAACACGTAGGTTGTCAGTTTGATTTTGGCCCACTTTGGACACCTTGTATAAATAATATTATATAGTATAATCGATGCTTTTATGCTAAAAGTTCATTTGTATAGATGAGGGAGGAAATGTAATTATAAAATTTACAGATAGAAAATCAGTTTTTTAATATTAAAGATTTTTATTGAAATTGTTCATACAAAATGTTATAAAGATGAAGATATATAAGACGAACTGCTACTTCCTACCTTTCAATTAATCAAATTATCGTTGTTAAGAAATAACATACGTATTCTTAAAACACTTTCATTTCATTTTCATTTTTCTTGTGGCGGTAACTGATATAATGAGACGAGAAAGTTTATTCGGGCATGATTATCTACAGTTCTGTGATTCGTGTACTTACACCAGATGGCAGCACCTCACTAAACACAGCAGCTGTTTTTACGAGACTCGTCAAATTCGTGATTAAAGTTTTCCTTTAAGACTGTTTAAATATTATCGAAAAGAATATCGTACAGTGACTTCTAAACGAAATAACATTGTTCTGCTTATAAACTGTGTTAAAAAACGAAAGTACCAGTGAGAGCATAACGTAGTAGAAACTATTACGTCAAATTAAGATTTTTACAAATTTGTATTTTTAAAAACTTTTCCATTGACTGAAATTCATTGTTAAGATATATTTCTATTAATCGATATAACGTAATAACGATGAATTTTCCAAATGGAAATCGATACTGAAAGTGTTAACCGCAATTTGTGAGGTTATGTTTTTGTTGCATCGAAGATTTGACAATTTTTAGTAAATAGCACGTGGTGGAAACAGTACAGTTTCGCGCATGTCATTCAAGCAACGCGCGATTAATAGCGAATCTAAATACAGCCTTCGAGGATTGTTCCTTTTTCTGTTGGATCAACGGGAAATTGTAAGTTGATTAATTATTTCATACTCGCTCGGTAGATCTGTGTTGTTATCTCGTAAAGGTTAATTACATAACAATATTGTGTCATTATCGTGTAAAGATTCGTTACATAACAATTTTGCAGTCATTAATTGAACGACGCGTTATCTTGTAGTCGTGTTTGAAAGCTCCGTGTAACCAAAATCATTTATTTCAAATCGGTTATAATTACTGGGCGTGACGAACGTTTACAGGATATGGTTGCAGAAAAAGTTTCAGTTAGAAGAGACTAATAAGAACGTTACTGAACGAAACAGTCCAGTTTTCACGAGTTGCGTAATACGTTCGCGCTAGTGGTACGTTTTTTCCTTCCCGCTGTAAGAGTTGACTTTATTTTCTTCGCTTGTTTCTTTTTTTTATATTTTTTCTTAGAAACTCTTTGTGTGCGCGAATCGGTAGAGTCGTTATCCGAGGAAAAACTGTCGCATAAAGGAACAATTAACGGCTGCAACTGTATATGAGATCGAGAATGTGTTTGCAAATGCCTTTGAGATTTCGTAACGCTTGATGCTTTTCCACCATTAGAAATGGAACAGGTGGCGCCACTTTTACGGTGTTTCCTTCGGGATTCGACTTTGTGTTGTCGTGTTTGTACTTTGGACGGTACCTCGAGCGTGACTAATTTTAAAGAATCCGCGTCAATCGTTAGAAAAGACGTTTTGCCGTGGCACATTTCTTCTACTCTAGAATTCATTATCTTCTGCCACTTAAGAGAGGGCTCTTTCTTCCTCGATTTTCGTTCAGGATCTTGGCGCTGATTTTCCATTCCTAAACCAGTACCTTTCGAATGCGTCATATTTACGCATTTATATTTATTTTGTATTTCTTTTATCTTGTCTTCCGTGCCAATGTATTCAAGGAATTGTAATTTTTTTGTACAGCCCCTGCAATAAATCGGAATATGGAAAATTTAAATCTACTATTCGAATATTTATCAAGAGTATCGGCGAACCTTGCATACTTTAGTATCTCATCGCTATCCATTTTATTTTGCGTTAACGCCATATTGGATATTCCCCAGCTCAATGGTCCCTTTACTAATGGATGCTCGATGCTTTTCTCGATATTCTCTGCGACGTTTAATGGCATACCCATCCATATTTGTTGTCGCAGTGAACTCAGTTTGATTTGCAAGTCTCGACTTTTTAATGGAATGGGCGAACGATGTCTCAGTGTTCTGTAGAAATGAAAATGGAAAATAAGAAATTATTTTAATCTCGATCAGAACATTCTTTTAAATGCTTACCTAACCAAGCGGAGACAGTGTGACCGTTTGTTTGCCTTTGGTGCCTCCACGTTCACACTGAAATTCTCGCCCAATGACATGCTACGAGGTCTCACAATTTCTGGCAAGACCAAATCATTATTAGAGATTTCTTCCGTCTCTTTCTCCATAAATTGGATAGGTTCCTTTTTATCGTGTTCGCGAATTCTTGCCGAGGAACCTAAATATAATTCTTTTTAAAACTTTTAACTTATATTTATCAGATTTTAGTGGTATGGTTTTACGTTCTGGTCTTGTTAGCCCTTCATCCGCTGAATCAATATAGTCGCACAAATCACTGCCTGGATCTGTAGTCGGTAAATCCATTACTGCTCTTCTAGTCTACATAGAAATGTAATAACGTAAGTCCAAATTACCCTATTTTAATTACAAAGGAACAATACTAAAGGAATTTCTTTCACCTTACCAGCATTCTCCTACGTCGAAGATAGCTTCTGTTAGCGGTTGTGTCCTTTTTGCTTCTCCTTTTCGCCAGTTCTAAGCTTCTGAGAGGAACGAATGTTGGCGTAGGCGGTGGGGCACACAAATATTGAGGAGAAACAATCGGTTCTCTCACAGTATAAGTCCATGCCCCTTCTGTGAACTCTATTTCTTCTTTTCCGGAGATTGAGCTCTCCGACGTGTCTCCCTCGTCGCTAACAGAGGAAACATAGTACAGTACGATTAAATAGAATCTTTAAGCATCGGAATGTACCTGGAGTAATCCGTTAAATCGATATTTGTCGGTTCTTCAGCGCTGGAACCACCCTTCATTAGCCTAGCGATTATTTTGTTCCGCAGTCTCTCCTTTGTTTCCCAATTCGTGATTCGTCGCAGTTAAATCCAATTAAAATGTAGGTATAAAAAGTAACAAGAATATTAATAAGATTCCATGGTGTTGTAATGTCGAAGTAACATCATGGTATACCTTGACAGGGTCCGGGTCAAAGAAATCCAATAGAGTTTCGCAGAATACTTTTCCAATCTGCTCGTAGTCTTGAGTGGAGAAGTGAGTTCCAGACCTGGAGCCTATCTTTGTTCCTCCCATTGATGCTTCCATCGTGTAACTGTTCTGTACTCCCATAGACCAAATCACGACTCTCCCTGTACCTTCTTTACCCTTCTCCATGTGAAATTTGCAGTTTTCGAAAGAGAACTATAAACATAAGCGTTACTCGAGACTGAAGTTTACTTGAAAGATGAAGAAAATCCTTATCCTAATCGCATACTTTGTCAGCCGCATTCTTGTGCAGCATCAGAGGAAACACTTGTTCGGAAAGCCTTGTTTGCGAGGCGGTTCTCTTATTCTCACAACCATAAACAAATATATTATGTTTCCTAGAGTGTGCGTGCAGATCACAGTAAATGGCCACTCCGCATTCCTCCAGTAACCGGCGTATCATTAGCTTCGTGTGCCATACCGAAGGGTAGCTTTCTCTCATCACAGTTCTGTACTGCCTGTTCAAATCTTTCCCCGACAGCGAGCACCGGTTATTACCAACGATAACGCCATCCGGGTTCAGCATGGGGATTAACTTGAACACGAATCTTTCTCGGAGTACCTGTGTCAGCCAAGTCACGTTATAACGCCTGTTAAGGCCGTGAGTCATGAGAAAGGTAAAGAAATTAAGAACTAAACTCTGGCTTGATTCGATTCTCCTGTTAAGAAGTCAATAATCCCTTTCATCGTCCAGCTAGATGGAGTTTCCCCAGGATGAACCCGTGCGGTGACGACGATGCCTCTTTTCCTTCGCGCCTCTTCGTCGTAAGTAGGGGCAGTGATAGTTAAGTAGTAGACTCCATTCCCAGCCAATGTCCGGCACAGTAGTCGCAATTTGGTATATCTAGATTTCACCGGATCCGCGACTAGTTTGGCAAGATATTCCTAAAATATTGCGTGTTTGTTTCAGATTATTTATATAATAAAATTCCGATAATCCGGCTTAGAATTTTGGCAGAGTTGGATTACGTTAAAGCTATGAAGAAAATAGAAGAAGAAAATGATTGTATGTACCCGATTTCAACGCCACTGTTGTATGCACATAGTGACAACTTCATTATCTATATATAGAAGACATAGTTCATAATAGTTATGGAGTTAGGTTCGTTAGATACCGTCATGATCAGTTATGCTAGATTATTAGAACACTGCTGCATTTGTATACTTTTTCAACAAACTGATGTGTGTTCCTATACATTGCATGTATCAGACTATTTATAACAAATACTATAGCTATCTATTGCTACATGTTACACGCTGCTTCAGATAATTTATATGTATCGTACCATTAATATCGAGCTTCGATTATTTTTGTGAGTTATTACTCAATTCAGTTCTAGGCCAGCAATCGATTTATAGAAAGAAATAGCAAAGTATGACATCTGTACTATTGTTACCTGTAGGTCTGTATAGGTGTACGGGTAACAGTGTGCCAAATAGACAGTGTCTCTGTCATGAGGAAAGGAGATGTTGAACGTCAACGTGTGTTTCTCTTTTTCCTCGTCGCTTCTGAGGAGAAGGGTACGTTAAAAATTAAGTGGTTCGAGCGTATTAAGATCATAGATAACGTACGATGAATCGTTCCTGTAATAAGCAATATTCTCTCCGCATCTTCTCCAACCAACGGCTCGTTTCTTGGCGTCCTCAGTCGAGTACAGGAGTGGTCGAAGACCCTCGTTGTATAGACTCTCCTCTTTGCAAAGGTTCACGATGGATATTCTGAAATTGTTTAAAATTTCGAAATACCGTATTCCTACTATATTACTTCAGGCTGCTTAATGAAAAGTCTTGACTACCTTCAAGGCAACTCACCTGTAATTCGTTCTGCTCCTCGTATTCGATATCCTGAAGTAATACCACTGCGTGTGTCTTTGAGTGTAAAGATCTTTTCTAAGGTAAAGTTGATAATACGTGTCAGTGATCTTCACGACTTTGCAAAGGTTTCCAGATTCAAACCGAGATTCAAAGTGCAAATCGGTGTTGGTATCTATTACATCGGACATTCTGGTTATCAGAAGCACATCTCTGGCTGTATCGTCGTCCTTTGATTCGTCCCTCTCTAAATCTGTTGAAAATTCCGGTGGAAACGGTGCGACCGTGTTTCCACCCACGCAGGATCTACTGAACTGTTAGGCATTGAACGAAGCCATTATCGATCACTCGGACCATAGTTATTAATGATTTTTATAGGAATGATCGTGGACTCACGTAACTGGTGATACTGATAGGATGATATCGAAATATCACAGTTCCATATTCGTCTCCTAGTGGCTTTGGTCTCGGTTCCTTCCCGGTTGGCACGTAGAACGGCTCTGGAACATCTGGAGCGTATTCTATGTGCCTAACTCTTTCCGGAAGTACCTGAAATAGTGATTACCCAAATTATAATTGTAATTTCTTTTCGTCTTTTTATAGTTACTTGACACTCGGTGGGCCATCTAGCAGCTTCCTGAGTGATCCCATCTATCATGCAACGAGTGTCCAATAGGCTTCGAAGCGTTTCTTGCGACTGATCATCCTTGGTCCCAAACGGCATAGAGAACAGAGACAATTCGGTTTCCCGTCGTGGAACCTCGCATTGTCCTAGCTGTAGCAACTGTAGTTCCTGAAGCTTGTTCAAGTTTGCCAGCGTACTGCCTGTGTGAGCAGCAAACGACCAATGTGTTTTAGATCTTCGCGAGAGAAGCTACCACTACGCAAACTCACCAGGAATCGGTTGAACTGGGAAGAGCATGGCTTGAAGTTCCTTCACCTTGCTGCCAGTTGAAAGATCTCTCATTTCTCGTTATCTTCCATCGACCACGCCGTTCTCGTCGCTGTCGGACTCTTCATTGTTTAGCCTTGCTGCCTCCTTTCCCTCGGAATACTCAAGCTTATCTTCCCTCGAAGCACGGTCAGCGATCCATGAAATTCTTCCATCCGATATACACTTTGCAACAGTGCTCATTTTTTCGACTTTTTATCCCGTCTTTCTTTCCAGTTCTCTCACACGTCCGTCCAGTCAGACTCACCACCATTCTTCAAACGCATCTCTCAAATCTTGTCGAGAGAACACCGTTAAGTGACGATTCGAGCAGCGCAACGTGTCTTCTCTGGGTGAATCCGGCGCGTGAACTGCGAGGAAGAACTTTGCCCAACAGGAACTCTATAAAAGCTGGCCCGTCGATTGCCTGACAACGGGAAAACGGGGGCGGAGCCAGTGGGCTCGATGATTGTTCGAAGCTCTCTCTCGTTTCTCGAGGTTCGTCGCTCTTCTCCGATGGAACTTCCGTATCGAACCAAGTCTGGCTCGTTTATCGATCTTTTTCAACGTGCCTCTGGTCTTGTCTTACGATCGAGCATACTGCTTAAAGAAAACATAGTTAGAACTTTGTTTAGCTTTTATATTCTTCTTTCTAAAGAAGTAATTCTTGTAAAGAGATAGATATGAGGTGAGATAAGAGAAGATACTTTTGAATTCTTTCCTCTGAATTTTAATGGAGCCAAGCGATTTTTCTTTAGATAGTATGTCTTGTTAGAGAATGTAATTACTAGTTGCCTGTTATTCAGAGAAGCTTTAAGATTTTTTAATATTCTTCAATTTCTGAGACTAAACGGCTCAGTACCGTGGAAAAGGTTGCGAGAGAAATTGGTAGTGTTGACGTCTTGATTTTAAATTTACGACGTCTGAGTTGTTGAAATACCTATGCGTTTTACAGAAATTAATCACGACACGGTAATTGGCCAGAAAGTTGTATTCATTTTAAGGAATTCGCCGACAGTGTCTCAGGTGGTTTCTCAAGCATTCTTCCGTTTAAACGCACGAAAGCGAGCAATTTGCATCCCTCTCCCCTGCCTGCTTCTGAAAATTATTGATCAATCAACGTTTGTGTCGGACTCGAGAATGGATGTGCTGCTATTTCTTCGGCGAATATTCTTTCTACCGATCAATGAGGTTCCAATCGATACGTCGAAGTCAATCAGTTATTTATATATTGGCAATCGTTGTTCCCTTCTAACAAAATATTTAGACTGTTTCAAAAAATTTCATATTCTTTTTGTTAATAACGTACTATTGTCTGCCTTTTACAGGTAATCCACGTGAGCCTTCACTTTGTCTGAAGCTTTAAGGAACGAACAACACTTGAAAGATGGGTCGCACGGTGACGGTAGCAGTGTGCACGTTGAACCAGTGGGCACTGGATTTTGATGGAAATTCTAGGAGAATCTTGCACAGTATACAGAAAGCTAAGGATGCTGGCGCTACTTATAGAAGCGGTCCAGAGCTGGAGATTTGGTAAAATTTTTAATTAGTAAATACCTTTCCTGTTTATTTAAAGTACCTAGAGACTTACAATCAATTTTCTTTAATAGCGGGTATAGCTGCGAGGACCATTTCTACGAATCAGACACGTTACTTCACAGCTGGGAAGTACTCGCAACGATCCTCAAGTCTTCCGTTGCCGAGGATATGCTAATAGATGTTGGTATGCCAGTCATGCACAAGAATGTGACGTACAACTGCAGAGTAGCCTTTCTGAATCGACGAATTCTGCTCATCAGACCTAAGATGCAAATGTGCGAGGACGGCAATTACAGGGAATCCAGGTGGTTCTCACCATGGACCAAGGTCATTCTTTCAGATTGCACGCGAGATGCATAGGAAATTGAAATAGTTACCGACCTTCTAGTTTTAGACTTGATATCGAGCATTGCATACCGTCCAGCTACAAATGCTAATTGTTTATGCAGGAACGCACGGTGGAGGACTACTTTCTGCCTAGAATGATATCTCAGATCACCAACCAGACAGTGGTGCCATTTGGCGATGCTGTTATTTCGACCAGGGACACGTGCGTAGGTTTCGAAATATGCGAAGAATTGTGGAACCCGATGAGCAATCATATTCCCATGTGCTTGGACGGCGTAGAAATTATAGCAAATGGTAGTTGAAAGATCTATATTTGTCTATATCAGTTTACTTCTTATTTTCTTTTCGATTTATACATGTTTTCATTTTTTAAGGCAGTGGCTCATACTTTGAACTACGAAAAGCATATGTTACCGTAGACCTCGTTAAGTCAGCTACGTTCAAATCGGGTGGATGTTACATGTTTAGTAACCTGAGAGGTTGCGATGGCTCTAGACTCTATTTTAATGGAGGATCTTCTATCACCTTGAACGGTCAGATCTTGAACCGTGGTAAACAGTTTGCTCTGGATGAGGTAGAAGTTATTGTCGCGACCTTTGATTTGGAAGACATAAGGTTTGTAATATCAGTTAAGGTCCCCTTTTAACTTGAACTATTTGTTTGTTTTCCGTTTTTGTAGGACTTATAGAAACAATATTAGGTCGAGGTCTCATGTAGCTGCCAGATCACCAAGTTATCCACGCGTGAAAGTGGACTTTGCTCTAACTCCTGAAAATTTAATTTCAAATCCTCCAGATCGGCCGATCGATATAGACTTAGGTCCTTATGAAAACAAGAACGTTACAGGAAAACTTGTTTATCACACTCCTGACGAAGAAATTTCGATGGCTCCTGCTTGCTGGCTCTGGGACTATTTAAGGTTCACTATTTTATCCATAATCAGATTACGATGATCTGTTTCTCTATTTGCTATTTATTTACTATTTTTCTTATAAAAGGCGCTCCTACCAAGGTGGGTTTTTCTTACCCTTGAGTGGCGGTGTGGATTCTGCATCATCAGCATGTGTAGTTTATTCCATGTGCGATATGATCGTGGACTCGATTAACAAAGGAGGTATGTGCCATAGTTTTTGCGATTATCAAGGAGCAACATTTAATAAATATCTTTCATCAGACACGCAGGTATTGTCTGACATCAGGAAGATAGTCGGCGATTGTGAATACGTACCAACTGATCCAAAACAATTGTGTGCTACACTTCTTATTACGTGTTACATGGGTACTGAAAACTCATCCGCCGAAACAAAAGCGCGAGCTGCCGAACTCGCTAGTCAGATTGGCTCTTATCATCACAGTATAGTGATCGACGTTGCTGTGTCCGCTATTCTAACCATTTTTCAACAAGTCACCAGATTGACTCCGAGATTTAAGGTGCAAGGAGGATCTCCTAGAGAAAATTTAGCTCTGCAAAATATACAAGTTGGTACCCCTTTCTTATCTCGATCTTCTAAAAAATAAATGTATTTTCAATTATTTGTAATTTTTTAAGGCTCGCTTGAGAATGGTAATAGCTTATTTGTTTGCCCAATTGATGCTCTGGGTTAGAGGACGACCTGGTGGTCTATTAGTATTAGGGAGCAGTAACGTTGACGAAGCGCTTCGAGGATACTTTACGAAATATGATTGCAGTAGTGCTGATATCAATCCTATCGGCGGAATTGCAAAGAACGACTTAAAATCGTTTCTTTCTTATTTTAGGTCACTACTTAGACCGATATTTATTAAAGATGTTTTCTGTGATAGATTTACGAACAACCGTTCGTGTCTGTTTCAGGAGAAAACATGGAATAACAGCTTTGGATGGCATTTTGGATGCTCCTGCGACCGCAGAGTTGGAGCCCCTTCAAGGAGGGCAACTCGCACAGCTTGATGAAGTTGATATGGGTATGACGTACAAGGAGCTTGGTATTTTTGGCCGGTTGAGAAAGCAGGATTGTGCCGGTCCCTTCGCTATGTTCTGTAGACTTATTCACATGTGGGATAATTGTACACCAAAAGAAGTAAATGTAGTTGTAATTAACTATCAGCCTTTGTTGTCGCACGTATTTAAATTCGGTTCTATTTGTAGGTGGCGGATAAAGTGAAACATTTTTATAGGTGTTATGCGATAAATCGGCATAAAATGACTATCTTGACACCATCTTGTCATGCAGAAACTTACAGTCCGGACGACAATAGATTCGATCATCGACCTTTCCTATACAATCATATGTGGAAGTGGCAGTTTAATGCAATCGACGAACAGGTTGGTTATGCCAGAGTGCAAACGTATTCTTAACACAAAGATCAAGACGACTGTTAAGAGAAGGATCAACTAATTGCAGGTGAAACGTCTTCTCAACGAAGAGAAATCACCGAGAGATCGAAAGACCGTGCCGAAGACGAATTACGTATTCAAGCCGTTCAACGCCGTGATCAGTAGTGAGTAACTAAAAAAAAAAAAAAAAAAAAAAAAAAAAAAAAAAAAAAAAAAAAAAAAAAAAAAAAAAAAAAAAAAAAAAAAAAAAAAAAAAAAAAAAAAAAAAAAAAAAAAAAAAAAAAAACAAGTGTACGTTATCGCTGATCAAGCTCGAGTCGTGGAGGAGACGAAAGCATCGTGAAATCGTCTCTAAAAGCACGATTTCCTTGCGTGTATGTTGAGCTAAACAGCGTTGACCGACGAAAAAACACCGATTCCGGAGAGTCGAAGTCGAGCGGGTTGCCGACGAACGACCATCCAGTAATTTTGACCCACCGTGTGCATACTCGTTCGTTGCGTTTCTGCCGAGGAATCATCACACATCGGCATCATTCTCTGTTGCAGACAAAACGCATCCTGGAGTAGTAGTTTAACCGTAGCAGTAGCTCTCTCTGTCTCTTATCATTTTGATATTGCAGCCTTGCGAGTGCATCGAAACGCAAGTTTGCTAGTCAGCAGTACGTGTGATCGACGAATTCCTTGCTTCATCGGTGCGATTTCTTCCGTTGGAAAGCCCTCTACGAAGAAGCCTTGGCTACGCAGTGTCATGAAGAGATTCCCACCTGGACGGATCGTGTGACTCTTAGATTGTATTATATTAATAATGCAACTAACGAGCGGCTGTTCAAAAGTATTAAAGATTCGATTCCATA